AAAAAAAAAAAAAAAAAAAAAAAAAAAAAAAAAGGAGAGGTAAATAATAAATATGCAACATGTGATCAGGGATAATGCTACAGGTGGTAAGAGAGATAAGAGGAGTGAGGGCATTTGTGCAGCAAGAGGGAGGAGGATGGGAGATCAGGAAGGGCAGGCCTTAGAACAAAGACAGATTTGAGAAAAGAACTGAAGGAGAGAGAAGGGCTCAGGTTGTAAATGTTAAAATGTAAATATTTATGTAACCTCTGTGCACATACATCCAGCTGTGGAAATACACAACTTGAGTTAGAGAAACTAGAATGGCTGAATCAAAAGCCATTCCTATTAGGAAGAAGCAGTTTGCCTGCTCACCTGAAAGAGACTACATACACTATACATGCCAGACCAGGAGATTTTGGGAATTCAGAAAAATAGAACAATTATCAAGATCCAGAGCAGTTCCTGATCAGTGCTTTTAATCAAAAGCATTAACATGGGCTTTTAAATAAAATTTTTTAAGGAAAGGTCCCTTGAGGTCTCTATGCTTGGGTATCAAATTCTTGATACTGGATAAAGAAGCCTCCTCCACAATCTCAGTTTTCTTTCTCCCTTGGGAAGCAGAGGGGTAGGGGCAGGCACTGGCAGAGGAGGAACACAGTACTAAGGAGCAAATGGAAAGTCAAATAAACAAGGCTATGCAAAAGAGCTGTGTGACATCTGAGTTCAAAGACAAAGACAGGGACGTGCAACCCAGGGCCCAGGATTTAGCTCGGTGGTAGAGCTCTTGCCCAGCCAGCAGCAGGCTCTGGGCTCATTGTCAGCACCAAAAAGGTATTTTAAAATGAAAAGAGAAACAAAAGAGGAAGTACAACCCAGATCCTAGAGACAGATGCACAGGTACAGGAAAACTTATCTAGAGTTTAAAGATTAAGAAGAGTAATACTGGGGTTGGGGATTTAGCTCAGTGGTGCGGTCACCTGCTTTGCAAGCTCAAGGACCCAAGTTCAATCGCCGGTACCCAAAAAACAGAAAAGAGAGGAAAAAAAAGGAATTACATACAGGCCTCCTCCTTTTTAAAAAATTAATTTTTAAAGTCAGAAACTAATACCGATCAATTAGTTTCTCTGGCGTGAAAAACTATAAAGGTACACAGGATCCTAATGAGATAATTAATAATGTGAAATAGGAAGTAAAGGGTTAAAGGTATAGGGAAAGTGGGAAGGGTGGGGAAAAGGTAATAAGGGAGAGGAAAAAAATATGAGAAACTGAAAAAATGGAAATAAAGTGTTTGTAAATGGGGAGGGGAGAAGAGGGTGAAGGGAGGGCAGGGACAAGGGGAAAAAATGAGAACCAAGACCTATTATGTAAAGGTACAGGATCCCAATGATGAATGTAATTGTATTGTGTACCTAGATTGTACCAATAAACTCAATAAAAAGAAAAAAAATAAAATAAAAAACTAATTATAACTGTAATCTTTATGGGATACAAAATATACAAAATAGTACGCAATGCGGAATGAGTAAATTGAGCTAATTAACAATCCACTGCCTTAAATACTTGTCATTGACTGATTTGTCCTAACTAAAATATTGCATCCTCTGGCCAACGTCTCCAAGCAGCCGCCACGTTCTAGTAACCACTGGTCCTTTAGTTTTGTTTTGTTGTTTGAGACAGGTTCTCAATGTGCAGTTCAGGTTGGCCTTGAACTCACTGTGTAGCCCACGCTGGCCTCGACTCACAGCACCCCTCCTGCCTTAGCCTCCTGAGTGCTGATCCTAAGTACGTATCACCACACTCAGTGAGTGACCACCACTCTGCCCTCTGCTTCTATGCAGTCATGTTTTCACTTGCAGGCATAAGTGAGAACATGCAGTAGATGTATGGCTTCTTAAGCCAGCAATAAAATGTACAAGTCCTGCTTTTAGAAAACTGGAAGGCTGATTATCCTCTGAATTTCTGATAATGTCACCAAATACTTAGTGAGCACCTCCTCCACCCAAGACATGTGTTCTACATCAGTTATTTGTAACTTTCTTCAGCTCTAATCACTTTAAGGTTCAAATAAAAAGTAAGGTTCTCAAAAAATAACTGGCCAGCTACTCAGAGACTAAGGGAGGACTGTGAATTTGAGGCCAGCCTGGGTCACCAAAGTGATATTCGAAGGAAGGGAGGACAAGGAAGGGAGGCAGGTAGGTGGAAGAGGGAGGGAGGGAAAGGAATCTAAGTGGTATAAAATTACATATTTCATGTTTGGGAGTTCACAGAATAAAATTTTTGACTATGATACTTCTGCTATGCTAGTTTATCTTACCTGTTTAAGAAGAGCCAACACAAAAAGTGGGAAAAGCCGCAAAGAGAAAGGAACCACGAGTCCTGGCTGCTGGTTACTGAGGACGGAGGAGCGGTAAGCTGAGAGAGAGTCAATGACGGCATTCACCAGGGCGTCCCGGGCATCACTCAGACTGGCGGTCATGGACCTATCAACAGCTGATCGCAGGGAGGACAGGGATAAAAGGCAGGCAGAAGTCAGATGCTCCACTGGTAAGGACAGAGGGGATGATTTTTTAAAAACTGTATTAAAGTAGCAGCAACATACTGGTTTTGAAGACCTTAACCTGCAACTGTGTGGTATCAAAATGCCTTTCACTAAATTATTTACTAAGTGCTATGATAAAATTTGCATATAAATAAGAAAAATGAATACTATTATCTGTTCAACAGTAAACTTTAAGACTTCATCAATTAAAGAAATATGCTGATTTTAAAGATGATATACTGGGCAAAGCTATTGTGAAATGTTTTGTGAATCTATAAATACTGCCTGACAGTTATTGTTGTCAATTACAATGATGATAATAAGGTTCACGCTGGTATCAAAAAATATGATTTGAACTAAAAAAAAAAAAAACTAAAACTAAAAGCAGTGGCCCTCAAATTACTCAGGTCACAATATTCAGGTTTTAACAATTTATAACACTGAAGTGAGGAAAGATCCTTTACTAAGCTCCATGAAAGAAAATTTCAGGCACTGGGCTAACTATTCCTCTTACAAGCAGATTTGAGTTTGAAGCAAATAAGACTCTGAACATCTTTGCTAAGGGAAAAAGACAGCAAGAATCAAACTGATGTTAAACTCTATGAATTTAAAAAAGCAACAACAACAATAAAAATTAAGTAGGCAAATACAGGGAATAGGTAGTTTTTTTCTTGGTGCCCTTGACTTGGCAAGGCTGCAAACATGTGGAGAGTATGCTGGCATCCATCTCAAACTCAACGACACTAGATCTAATGATTTTATAATACATGACCATCACTTGTCCGTGTTACAGAACTGATTAAAAAATAAAATCTATGAAGGGAGGGCAGGGGTAAGGGGAAAAAATGAGAATCAAGACTTGTCATGTAGAGGTACAAGATCCCAGCAATGAATGTAACTGTACTGTATCCCTAAAATGTACCAATAAACTCAATTAAAGCTGAAAAAAATACAATAAAATCTGTGTCAGGTACAGTGATGTAGTCCTGTAATCCCAGCACTCTGGCAGACTGAAGCAAGAATATCACCAAGTTTGAGCCCTGGGCAACTTAGTGAGACCCTGCCTCAAAAATAAAAAAGGGCTGGGAATATAACTCACTGCAAAGGCCCAGGGTTCAATCCCTACTACCACCACCAACTAAAAAACATAAAGGCAGAGGCTGGGGATTTAGCTCAGTGGTTCTACCACCTGCCTCACAAGCATGAGAACTTGAGTTCAATCCCTGGTACCAAAAAATAAAATAAAATAAAAAAGGGAAAACATAAAGGCGGGCCAGAGATTTAGCTCAGTAGTGCCACTGCCTGCCTTGCAAGTGCAAGGTCCTGGGTTTGATTCCTGGTACCAGAAATTAAAAAAAAAAAAAAAAAAACCATAAAGGCATTAGAATTATATGGTGGTGATGACTAGAAAGGCAACCATGGAACTGTACAAGAAAGGGTAAAATCTGTTACATGATGCTATCTCAGTACAGCTTTTTAAGTGGGGGCAAGAGGCAGCTAATAAATCTATATAAACAAATGTAAATGATAAGATTATCTGCAGAGATTTCCACTGAAATAGTTACAAGCACCCAAACACTGAAAAAATGTAAAGCTGATAAGTTAAAGAAAACAAAATTGTGAGAATTTTCCTACTGGTATTACTTGCAAAATACTTCAAGTGATAACAACTCTTACCCATATTGGCCAATAACCCTGAAATTGCTTGAACATCAGCTCCAAGAAAGATTTCATTCAGAGTGGAAACCACTGGCAAACACAAAGTATGGACCCGAATTCTTCTTTCACCTTTGGGAAAAATACATGAGAGTAAGGGACAATAACATACAAAAAAGAAAATCTTCCTTTCTGGTGCTAAGACCAAAACCAAACAAGGTGACACTACAGATTTTGAAAAACTCATACCAAAACCAAACAAAAACTAAACACTACAACAACAAAAAGATACAGAGCAGCTAGAACCTTTTTTTCCCCTAATACTGGGGATTGAACCCAGGACCTTCACAATGAGCTACATGTGCTATTCTTTTTATTTTGAGACAGGGTCTTGCTAAGTCACTAAATTTGCCCAGGCTGGCTTTAAACTTATGATCCTTTTGCCTCAGCCTCCCAAAGTGCTGAAAATACAGTGTGTGTCACTATGCCTCAGGACTTTTACACAGTGCTGACGGGAATCCAAAAATGTTACAAATGTGAAAAACAGTTTGGCAGGTGGTTATAAAGTCAAACATACCATACAACTCAGCAATCCCTCACCTAGATGGATAGAACCTAAGGACAAAATTCAAATATATTATGCTTAGAATAAGCCAAATTCAAAAGGCTATATATACACCTACAGCTGGAGCACCTATACTCTGAAAATCCAAAATCTGCAATGTTCCCAAACCTACACTTTTTTTGTTTTGTTTTTTTTGAGACTGGGTCTCACTATGTAGTGAGACTGACCTGGAACTCACTATGTAGCCCAGGCTGGTCTCGAACTCACAGCAATCCTCCTGCCTCAGCCTCCCAAGTGCTGGGATTACAGGAGTACGCCACCATGCCCGGCCAACCTATACTTTTTGAGTGCTGAGATGACTCAGGGGGAAGATTTTACAGTTTACATCATGTAATGGGGTAGCAAACAAAACGAAGGTACAATAAACTTATTGTATAAAGTAACCTTTAGGCAGGCTAGGGATGTATCCTAGCATGGACCAGGCCCTGGGTTCAATCTCTAGGACCACAAAAAAAAAAAAAAAAAAAAAAAATCTAAGATAAAATAGTAACAACCCTTAGAAGGTATACATAAAACATCTACAAATTCTGTTTTGAGACTTGGATCCCTTCCCCAAGATAGTTATATATATGCAAATATTCCAAAAACTGAAAAAATCCCAAACACTTCTAATTCCAAACATTTCAGATAAAGGATATAAACCTCTCTATGATTCCATTTTTATGACGTCCCACAGTGCAAAATGACAGGGTCAGAAACCAGGGCCATGCCAGAAATCCTGAGCAAGGAGGATCACAAATCTGAGCCCAACATGGGCAATTTAGTGACTCAGTGAGACGCTGTCATACAAATAAAAAGCGCTGGAGGTAGCTCAGTGCAAAGGCTGTGGGTTCGATCTCCAGGACCATGAGAAGAAGAATAAAGATATCAGTGGGTACCAGGGGCTGGGAACGGGAGAGAGGCTTACTACAAAAACAAGTACAAATATCGGGTGTGATGAAACTGATTGTGATATCTTCACTGTGATGATGGTTAAATGACACAACAGTCCAAACTGTGCAATTTTACATTCAAAGGGGTGCCCTGACTTGATATACAGTTCAGAGACAGAGTATGAACTCAGCGTATACAGGGCCTGTATTTGATATCTTGGTATCACACAAAAAATTGCACATATTGATTACAAATTGTTTAAATATTAGCAAGAATAAAACAGTGTATAGAAACAGAAATCCAGCTTTTATATTTAAGGCACACTAAATTAATTATAATCGTACAAAAACAGAACTTTCCTAATATTAAAGGCTCTTATCAAAATGCATATTTTACTGATTTTGGACAAGTGCAACGGTGAACAGACACAGCACAGAAACACACCCAAAACTATTCTTTCTCTTTCCATTCCTAGGATCAAAGTGAGGCCCTGGCACATTCCAGGAACCAAAAAAAAAAAAATTTTGTTTCAGTACTAGGGACTGAATTTAGGGCCTCACATGTGGTATGTAAGTGCTCTACCATAGGCTACACCCCAGCCTTCCTATTTTGAAACAGGTTCTTACTAAATTCCCCAGGTTAGATTTGATAGTTTATTTTCTTGTTTTGGTACTGGGGATTGAACTCAAGTCCTTACACTTGCTAGACAGTTGCCAGAACCACTGAGCTAAATCCCCAGCCCCAATCCCAGGTTAGATTTGAATTTGTAATCCTCCTGACTCAGCCTCCCAAGTAGCTGGGATTATAACATAACAGGTGGGTATAGAGACATGCACCACTGTACCCGCCTGGCCAAAATAGTTTTTAAAGGTGATAAAATAGACCTAGAGGGCAGGAGTGGTAAATCTTTAAAATAAAACCACAAACTTAATGTGCCTTCATATTCCCTTAGAAAAAAAAAACAAATTATAAAAGGATTAGGAACAAATTGCACCCTTAAAGGTGCAATCTTCTTAAAGATACCTATCTTCCAGCACAAGCTCCTCCAAAGTTCAACCCATGCACCCTCCCTGTAAGGCTTAGTGCCACTGGCCATTCTTCTTACAACAGCAACCTGAGCACTTCCTATCAGTGCCTGTGCTTCACTCTTCTCCTCAACTAGCATCACCACATGGCACAGCACTATTTTCCTTATTCATCCTCTTTACTATCGGACTTGCCCACCAAACCCAGTTCTAAAAGAAAGGCATGCTAAAAACTGCTGTTACCGCAGCTATGACATGTGATGGACAGCAGACACATCCATGAAACAGAGGAACACAATGACTGCTTTAAGGCAAACAAGGGTGATCACCTCAGCTTTACCAAAAACACCAACCAAGCTCTTCTGATTAAGAATTCAAAAAAAAAAAAAAAAAAAAAAAT